CTTTTTCCTACCCTCATCACTTTGTAGTGCTTGATTCTTGGCATGCTAAAATGGAAAAAAAAAAAAAGGTTAATATCCATTTGAGTATACTGTTGGGTCAAATCAAACTAAAGTGAGTATAACATATCACCTGTATAGTAAAACCTATCTTTCAATGACTAGGGGGAAAAATGGTGGGGTTTTTTGTTTTTCTATTTACCTGGTTCTTTATATATATATTCTCTTTGGGGAGTTATACACTAGGGATATAAGAAACCTGGGCCATCGATTGGTTGGATGAGAAAAAATAATAGGGATAAATACAGGAATCAAGAACTGACAATCTTTTAGGCAGAATTATACTTTTAAATGCCTAAAACTTACAAAGTAGACATCATTATAAAATCCTAGGTGGGCATATACAAATCAAATACTTATTCTCTACATTAACAGAGAAATAGAAAGAACTACTGAAAGCAAATTACCTTTTACTCCAGTCAGAAAGCTCTCAATGACTATTCTTCCTGCTTGCTTATATACCATCTTGGACTTCGAGGTATGGAAAATGCTAGGTGTTAGGTACTATATGAACACTTAGGTGTGAGAATGCAAGTACAACAGATGAATCTTAATGTCTTCCTCTTCTGTAGTCACATAGCACTCTAATACTAAATTTGTGCTATTTTATTGACTATGAATTGCTTAAGAACAAGAAGCACATTCTAGTCATTTTTTGTATTCCAGCTTCAGGCACACTGTATTTGTGAAACTTAATTTTAAAACTGTAGGAGCCCACCTCATAGTGCTATTTGCTAGAACTAATTTATACTGAGAGCATAAGTCAATGTCTATGCCAGTTAGTTTTGAACAACAGTATGTTTGCCTTGAATTCCCTTGATTCATATGGAAACAAGTGTCAGGACCAAGACTTTAGCTAATGTTGAAAAGTAAACAGCATTTATTGCACTGCCATTTGCCTGAAAGACAAAGTAATCCAACACCTGTTCGATTTACTGAAGCTGCTAAAGCAAAAGTGTCTACCAGGTTAAGTTTTATCTACAGAGCCTCCTACCTTTCTCATCCCTCCTCCTCCATTTCCAGGTCACATTTCTCTAGGACTGAACTACACTTCTGTTCAAGGGACTCACCCTTTCCTCTTCTACTGTTACATTCAAATCTTCTCTCAATTGCATATCATGTTGGGAAACAGCTAATAACTTTATTCCAATGGTTTATTCTAGAGCTTTACTTTCAAAAAATGGGATAAAACTTAACCAACCCTCTCCCCTCCTAAAAAGGGGGAAAAGTAAAAAAAAAAAAAAAAAAAGTATTTCTTAATGCTGAACCTTCAGGAATCAGTTACAGACTGAAGAAAACACTTGTGGACAGAGGAGGTCTTACAAGGACCCTCTGTTGGGATGGTTGGCTCTGGCTTTATCTTTATCCCTACCATGAAAATCAACCTTATAATCATACAGTTACATATGAAAACTCACACCAAATCCATTTAGAATTCCTGTATTCCTATGTAATAAGTGATTATCATAACTTGGAAGATTGATAGAAAGCTTGAAGGGCATGGCCTTTATAACTAGGAAGATCTAGGTTCACACTCTGGTGTTTTGTAAGCTCTCTGAGCCTTCATTTCTTCATCCATAAAATGGAGATGGTAATGCCTTCGTGCTTAAGGCTGTGTTATGAATTATGTTTGAAAAGTCCTTTAAGTTAGTAATTTTTTTAAGTCTCAGCCTCTTCGTTTGTTAAACATGGAAAATACTGTCTGTCTCTGCCTTTATTGTGCCTGAAGAAAATGTTTGTCAAGCACTCAACATGCACCCATAAATGGTACCCTATAAGTGGGGACAGTGATTGTGTTAGTAATAACCATCATATCATCATTATCGTCATTCATGGCAAAGCTGTGAAAGGAAAAGTAGCAAAGGTTAACAGGGTCTCTTGGAACTTCTGACTAACAGGACTAAGTTCTGAAGCAGAATGGTAGAAAAAAAATTCCATTCAAGTCACTTAGGCTTTGACTCTTATTTTAGACCTTTGTTTTTCTTTCACATTTTGTTTTTCCAAAGGAATAAAGAAAGAGGGACAAAATGAGATTGATAAATTTGCTATATTGAAGTTTCATGTGTATGACCTCAAAAAGGAAGTAACCTGTCTTTAAAAAAGAATGTGTGGCCTTACATATTGTTATAAATACCTGTTCTCAGCTTTTGACCTCAATTTTTGCAAAGGAATGAATTTTGGGTAACTATTTGCTACTGCTTTCTTGGTCAATGGCTTTCCAAAGTGTAAACTAGTATACTGCTAGCTTGCCACATAGTCATAATTATTTTTAGAAAACCAAACCAAACCATGAAGTTTGTTTTACGAATAGCTTTATGTCTTATGAATTCACACACCATTGAGCTGGTTAAAGGTGGATGATATTTTGCATCAAGAGAGGAGTCACCTGATAATTTGACATTGAATGACTTTTGCTTCTTCCTGTGAACTACAGTCTTCCCTCCCACAGCTGATATGTGAACAGATGGAGATAATTTTTACTTTCATGATATTTTGTAAACCAACTTGTCTTTTTTAGCTAGTGTTTAACCAGACACACTCATCTAAACTTCATAGCTGACCATTTCTCCTACAACCTGTAAGAGAATGAATTAGTTTTGTGGGTAACACAGGTGCTTCCTAATAGTCTAGATTTCTGCCAAGTCTTCACATGAAGCTCTGTAGTCAATTATACTACTCTCCACAATAGCTATCCTTTAAAATTAAGTAATCTGTTAAATAGAAGATATTAAATCTGGGCATTCTAAAATATTAGAGAAGACATATAACAATATATATGTGTGTGTGTGTGTATATATATATATATATATATATATAAATATATATATATGACTCATATATATATTATTTTCTTGGTTGGATTGGTTGGATTTCCTTATGACTCATAAGGAAAATTTGTACAGTAACAGCTAAAACATGTTAACCATTTTCATGTTTTTCATGTTATAAACTATGTCTCAAAGTCTAAATAAGCTTATACTGACTACAGTATTAGAATGCTCTAGTTTAAGCATTCTAGTTTACTCCTTGCTTTCTAAATATGAACTTTTTGGGTGAGGGGGTGATTAGTTTTATGAAATATTATATTCTTATGACCATCAGCTGTACAAAAGTATGAACTATATGAATTCAAACTGGAAGTGAGTATAGTAAAATTAGAAATACATAACTTTGAAATGAACTCCTTTGCTTGACTCTTACGAGTTTAAATATAATACAAATATACATATAAGCTGTGACATTAAGTTCATATCCTAAATATAGAAACTACTTGCATTTCGTCCAAAACCACATTTACAGCAGAAAAAACTTTATTTTTTCATAGCTCACTTGTACAGAAAGTACAGTGCAAAAGTTGGGCTAATTTAGACTACCTTACAAGAGATCCAGCTACTATACATAGTCTTTAAAGAGCTGTTAGGTCTCAGGATTTTGTTTCATGCAGAATAGTAACATAGGGTTCACATGCAAATCAATCAAACAGCCAATTCAACAAGAAAGTAATATGAAGTTCATCATTCTCTTGTGTGATCTAGTTTACTTTCCAAGCAGTTAGATGGTTTCTTTTTTTAAAATCTGCAAGATAAATTTTAATTTAGTTTTTTATATTTCATATTTTTAAAGTGGAAGTAAACAGTTAAAAACATTCTATATTTTATGTGATACTCAATTTCCTAAACCCTGGAAAAGGATAATCTCCTTAATCAGGATATACTAAACAGAAAATCCAGGAGTTCTAAGTTCACTGATATTTGATGGCCATTCATAATTTTTATTTATGTTGGATTTGCATCAAGATAGTCAATTAAATGATAAATTATAACTGAACTATATTCATTGAAACTCATTCATTCTGAATGTTAGTCTATAATTTTAAAAAATAATAAACCCAAAAGATTAAATTGACATAGATATTTATTGTGGAAAACACACATGTGAATGTGTGCGTGCACATGCGCACATGACACACATTTTCTTTTACTTCACACACAGAACCAGATTTACCATCTAACATTCTTACCACTATTCAATGTACATGGCTAGTGTATACAGAGTAATTGGCAAGTGAATAAAGCTGATTAGACCATGGCTCATACTAGCCATGCAGCCATAATGTCATAAGTTTAATTTTTTCCTGTGATTGTTTTCTTTTTACTGCCTTTCTTCATTGTCAATGTCTTCATATTTAATCTCTTTAGAATTATTGATATTTGTGGTAGATAGATTCATTGATATATTCTAGCTTAAAAATGTAATAGAATAATACCCTCAGGAAAAAAATAACAAATTCAAAAAACAAAGTTCTGTTTATGATTTTTTGTGAATAAGAATCACTTATTGAATATTTTCATATGGGACAAAAACCTTTATATGTAGATTATATTATCAGTAGTGAAAATGTTAACTAAACTAGAGATCCTATTGCAATACAAATTTTCATAGACTGAGAGCTGAAGTGAACCTTAAAAGATCCAACCACCCTAATTACACAGAAAAATCAACTTGTGCATGTAAATGTTACTTACTTTATCAAGCATAAACCGTTTCACCAGAAAGAAATTATTAGCCTTGACAAGAGGCTCCTATGGTCCTTTTCATAGTCACTTCTTTACTCATCACACTCCAGTGGCCTCTCATGTCATTCAGAGTAAAACCCTTGTCCCCACGATGACCTGTAGGGTTTGCACATCAGTCCCTACCCTACCTCTGGAATCTCATCTCCCACCACTTTCTCCTAGCTCACTCCACTGCAATCACCAAGGCCTTTTCTGTTTCTCGAACAAAATAAGCCTCTCCTGCCTCTGGACATAAGCACCTGCTGCCTGGAATGCTCTTGTCCCAGACACGGAGGTTTGTTCCCTCACTTCCTTCTGGTCTCTGTTTAAATGCCAGCTAATGAAATAGGCCTTTCCTAAGCACTCTATATTAAAGCAACATCAACTAGAAAAATTTTCTCTTTTTTAAAAATATGAAACACTATGCAGGGGCCATGCTAATCTTTAATCTTCTCTGTGTCATGCCAATTTTAGTGTATGTGCTACCAAAATGTGCACATAATTATTACCTCTGAGATTCCCATTTCCCTCATCCTGCTTTATTTTACTTTCATAGGCCTTATTACCTTATGTATGACATTTTTGGTTACGTATTTATTTATAGTCTGTGTCTCCTTCAAGTATGTAAACTTCCTTAAACTAGGGATGTTGTTTTGCTCACTGCTGCATCCTCAGTTCCTAGAATATTATTTGGTCCATAGTAATTGCTCAATAAATACTTGTTGAAATGAATGCATGCATGAATGAATGAATGAACTATATCCAGGACCAAAGTAATTTGCTCATTCTTCCCTACTGCTAATATTAGCCTTGGCTCAGTCTTTAGTATTGCTTATACGTGTTTCATCCCCTCCCTATTTTTGTGGTTATATTCTTAGCCCCAACAAAACACATAGAGGATGCTGATCTGAACTTTATGACTCTGCTTTCTAAGGTGATATCATGCTTTTAATAATTCCATATGTTTTTTTAATTAAACATACTCTATCTCCTGCCGGATAGTGATGGAGAAGTTTCTGCTGTCACTACCAGGCCTCAGGATCATATTTCCCAGTGAAGGATTCTTCTCAAGCATCTCAGTTGCTTCTTTCCGAGACACGGCATAGAAACATCTACAGAGGTGAGATCAAAACAGACTTTTTAAAATGGATAAAGATCATGACTTGAAAAAAAATGCTTCTGAAGTAATTTAGAACTGCATTTATTAACTTTTCTTAAAATCCCCAGCTTTATTATAACTGCATTGATATGATTATAATTATTATTACAAGCCTGTTCCACTATAAATATGTGTATGCTTATAGCCCTCCTCCCCTCATCCCTCCAAAACCTCATTCTCTCACCAAAGGGGACCTGAAAAATTATCTACTGATCAGTATATTATCACTATTACCATTTGAAAACCTAAGATAAAAATTAACAATGTATCTCCATTCTCAGTTTATAATAATAGGCTATTGGATTGGATAAATAATATTTGTTAGTGGTTTCTTTCCAGAGATACAAAACATCTCTATACATGCTTCTGTAGTTCGCCTTTCTTTTAAAATAACTCATATTTAAGAGTACATCTTAACTCACTCCATTTGGTAAAATATGGATTTCTTATAACATTGGTGGTGTTTTTATGTGTAAAATCTTTAAGAAAGCACCTCTCATTTTTATAGTATACTAGTATTACTAGTATATTGTAATCAATGAAATATGTAGTCACAGAAAAATATCTGGAAGGATATGCAATATACCAAAATGTTAACAGCAAATATCTTTGAATTGGTGAGCAATGATTTTAGTCTTTTTATTTATCTGTAAAATCATATATTGTTTTATTGAGCATAAAAGAAAAAGAAGCACTCTGTGACTTTTAACCTATCAGTCTATGAGTCATTGGTTTCAGCTAAACGTTACAGTGGGCAGGTTTCAGTGATTATAGTACAAAAGAACACGAATCAGAACTTGATGTCAAAGGTGGTACCAGGGCAAATTTCACTGGTGAGAACTTGACCAAGATTCCAGAGGAAGAGGTTCACAATCTTAGTCACACTCTTTAACAATATAATGGTAAACAATAGAGATGGGATGTTGCAAATTCAGCGTGTTCTATGTCTCTTCATTTTTCCAACAACACCTTACCCACTTTACACAGGGCCTTCAAAGTACAGCGCAATGACTACCCAATGATTGAACAGTTGCATAGAATATTCACTTATTTTTTAATTGATTTTATTAGAGTTACATTGGTTCACAAAACCATTTAGGTTTCAAGTGTACAACTCAATGAAACATCATCTGCATGTTGCATTGTGTGCCCATCGCTCAAAGCAAAGTCTCTTTCCATCCCAATTTATCCCCTTTTGCCTACCTCCACCTACCTCCCCCCTTCCCCTCTGTCTATCACCACACTGTTGTCTGTGTCTATATATATAGTGTGTGTGTTTTTTTAATTCATTGGTGTAATTTTCTGGTAGAAGATCAGTCAATCAGAGAGTTGCATAGTGAAAAAATATTGCTTCCTTCCTTCCTCAAAGCAGTTTTTATTTAGGTTTAAACTTTGGAAAGAATATCTGTTTAGTCTGAAAGTGTGGGTGGAAGGGGATTTCCTGTGTGGTAAGAGAGATGGTTCAAATCTGCATTTTGCATTTTGTTGATCATGACACAGAAGAGGAAATGTGGCATGCACTCAGAAATATGCTGTTTATCCACAAGACAGCTTATTGTCCCTGGTTTAATGAGGTCATTGACTAACTCTCCTTAACAAATAGAAATTAACATTAACAATCTAATAAATAAACTGGAGTTAATGGTGCCCTTACGCTGGCATAGGGTTCAGTACATCCACATAATCCTCTATTGGTTCCCTCTCTTCTTCCGGAGATGTACTTGGCAGCCGCTCTGTCTCAATCCTCCTTTTCTTTTCTTTCTCTAAGACTTCGTGCAGTCTAATTACTTGTCCAGGAAGGAGTGACACATGTTGGGGAACTGACAGCTGAAACCAATTAAAACAGTAAGCAAACAAGAAAGAAGGCAAAATAACTAACTGATTTTTAGCCAAGATGAGCCTGTTCTGGTCCTAAGGAGCTTCAGTTACCTGACAGAGATGGGTGGGTAGAATCAAGAATAGACAATCTTGATGTAAGGCAGGTGTCCTAAAACAGCCTCTAAACCAGTGGTTCTCAACCTTCTGGCCCTTTAAGTACCGTTCCTCATGTTGTGACCCAATCATAAAATTATTTTCGTTGCTACTTCATAACTGTAATGTTGCTACTGTTATGAATTGTGATGTAAATATCTGATATACAGGATGGTCTTAGGCAACCCCTGTGAAAGGGTCGTTCGACTGCCAAAGGGGTCGCGACCCACAGGTTGAGAACCGCTGCTAAACATCTAGAACCTGCTTAGGGTGTCCAGTGTTCTTCCAGGAAATGTCCCTTTTGGTCAGACCCCAAAGCAAAGTACTACAGGCTACTTCACATAACAACAGATCTCATGTTTTCATTCTGAGTGTACTATTTCTCACTGCCGGGGAAGTCCCAGAGCACCTGCAAAGTGCATAGCTCTCCCACAGGTAACCTAGAACTATCACCACCAACCATATGGTAACACGGGGTTGAGATGGCACTGTTCATTAGATGACTGAGAATCAGCAAGCGGAGGTCTATATTTTGGTATGCTTGTGTGTATATTTCATAGTTTTATTCACATATTACAATTATGTTACTGCTCTACTTACTACTGCTTTTTAACCTTTTCTAGAGATGTATGTACATATATATGAAATTCAAAATAAAAATTTACTATAATTTTTATAGTACACAATAAAAATTTTTTAGGGTACACAATACAAAGGTTTCAAGAATATTCATCTGGATAACTAAGCTAACTAATAATCAGTAGGGCTATTTTCTTATATACCAATCCAGAAAAAAAATAATAGAATAAGGAAAAATTAATGAAACAGCTGCTCCTTATTTATTACCTATTATGTCCCAAGCAATGTGTTATTGAAAATCCTCACAACAATGCTACAAGATAAGAATATTACTTTACAAAAAAAGAAAGAAAGAAAGAAAGAAAGAAAGAAAGAAAGAAAGAAAGAAAGAAAAGGAAGGAAGGAGGGGAGAGAGAGAGAGAGAGAGAGAGAGAGAGAGAGAGAGAGAGAGAGAGAAGAAAGAAGAAAGAAGAAAGAAGAAAGAAGAAAGAAGAAAGAAGAAAGAAAGAAAGAAAGAAAGAAGAAGAAGAAGAAGAAGAAGAAGAAGAAGAAAGAAGAAAGAAGAAAGAAGAAAGAGAAAGAAAGGAAGGATGGAAGGAAGGAAGGAAGGAAGGAAGGAGAGAGAGAGAGAGAGGAGAGAGAGAAGAAGGAAGAGGAAGGAAGGAAGAGAAGAGAGAGAAGAAAGAAGAAAGAAGAGAAAGAAAGCTCAGAAAGAATAATAACTAGTCTGGGTCCA